GGATGAAATAGGAGAAACCCTAGATCTCCTTGGCTCAGGCCGAAATTTTCTGAATAGAGACCCGGAAACACAACAAATCAAAGAAACGTTGGACAAATGGGATCGCATAAGGTTGCAGAGCTTCTGCAGGGCAAATGACATAGCTAGCAAGATCAATAGAAAGCCCACGGATTGGGAGAAGATCTTTACTAGCCATACAACGGACAAGGGTCTCATATCTAAAATATACTTGGAACTCAAAAAATTAAACCCCCCAACAACAAATCCTCAAAGAAACAACTGCCCAATAAATAAGTGGGCGAAAGACTTAAAGAGAAACTTCTCTGAAGAAGAAAGAAGGATGGCCAATAGACACATGAAGAAATGTTCAACATCCCTAGCCATAAAAGAAATGCAAATCAAAACAACATTGAGATATCACCTCACCCCAGTTAGAATGGCAAAAATCAAGAACTCTAACAACAACAGATGCTGGAGGGGATGTGGACAGAAAGGAACCTTACTTCATTGTTGGTGGGAATGTAAACTTGTTCAACCACTTTGGAAAGCAGTATGGAGGTTCCTCAAAAGACTTCACATAGAACTCCCCTATGACCCAGCAATCCCACTTTTGGGCATTTACCCTAATGTTTACAAACAAGACCACACTAAAGCTACCAGCACAACAACGTTTATTGCAGCATTATTTACCATAGCTAAGATATGGAACCAACCCAGATGCCCCTCAGTAGATGAATGGATCAAGAAAATGTGGTATATATACACAATGGAATTCTATGCCTCCATCAGAAAGAATGACATTGCCCCATTTGTTAGGAAATGGAAAAACTTGGAAAAAATTATATTAAGTGAAGTAAGCCAGGCCCAAAGAAACATAGGTCCCATGGTTTCCCTTATTTGCAATATCTAGTATATGTATGAGTCAAGCGGAAAAGGTCAGATAATGTGATGTCAGGAAAATGAACCCTTAGATGTGTATTTTAATGTTTTTTTCTTTCATGCATGTGTTTCTAACGCATTTATAAGATTATCTCTTTGTTGCTTTGTATGTCCCTCCCCCACAGTATAACCCCTGCTTTCACTATATTTGATGTCAATATAATGTGGAGGAGATGGGGAAAAACCAGTTGTTTAAGGATACAGGTGAACCTGTTGCAACAATGAGAAGTACAAGTTGTCATGTCCAAAACGAGCTTTACAACGTCGGTGCGGGGGGGGGGGGGGGGGGGAAGGAGAAGGATTGGGATTGGGGGGGAGGGGGGAGGCTGGGAAGGGATGTGAAGGGTAAACCAAAGGAGGAGGCCACAATGCTTGGTAAGAAATATACGCATTATCCTGCCCATGTAATTGTAACCCCTCTGTAAAGTATGTTCACAAATAAAATAAAATTAAATTAAAAAAAAAGAGAGAGAAAAAAAAAAAGTATGTTTGCTTACCCTGATTTAATGTATCCATTTCCCAAAAGGACCTCATAAAGATGTACAGCTTTCATGTTTTTATGTATGTAAATTTTATTTTATTATGATGATTATTATGATTATGATTATGATTATGATTTTGCAACTGCTAGATGAACTCAGGGCATCACCCTGGCTCAACATTTCTTGTAATTTAAATTGTTGGAGAGAAATTGTTTCCATTTCTCTCTGTCTCTGCCTCTCTCCCTCTATTTTTTTTTTTTTTGCTGATACCAGTTTGAACTCAGGACCTGGGGCTTATTTTCCTTTCTTGATCCCAGCTGTTACTCTGTCAATTGAACCACGCTTCCAGTTTGGCTTTTTGCTAGTTAATTGGAGATAGAACCTAATGGATTTGTCTATCCAGGATGGCTTCATCTTTTAAGTCTCACTCTCCAGAGTAGCTAGAATTATAGGCACCCAGTTTATCAGTTAAAAAAATATTTTTAAAACTTTGCAAAAGCACATAGTGATGTCAGGGTTTCTGTTGATAGAGTCTTTGCACAAGACAAAGACAGTAGCCAAAAAACGATGACAAGTGATAAAGCATTATTAAATATGAACACCCTTTGTGAATTTAAAGGGGATATTACTAACATCTCTCTCTTAAAAGTGAGACTCACTGTATTTTCGGATAGACCTATATTAGGTTAAAGAAGTTCATATTTGTTTGTTTTTTATTTCTAAGTGATTTTCCTCCTAATCCTACAAATACGTTAAACATTGTTGAATTTTCTGCATCCATTGACACATCATGTTCTGTCTTCTTTAAATCTGTGACATGAGACAAAGTAATACACTTTGATAATATTAAAACTGTCCTTTACCCTTCCTGGATTAAAGAGGTTTATGTGTATTTTTTTTTTTTTGTCGGTCATGGGGTTGAACTCTGGGCCTGGGTGCTGTCCCTCAGCTCTTCAGCTCAAGGTGAGCGCTCCACCGCTTGAGCCACAGCGCCACTAAGGAGGTTTATTTTGTTGCATCTTCCTGAATTCAGTTAGCTGATAAATCATTTCTGATTTGTGTGTTTGCAAATGAGATCAGCCCATAATTTTCCTTTCTCATACTGTCCTAAGTCAAGTTGATAGAGCATGCACACAAAGTTGGCAAGGCTATAAAATTAGCATTCCATTAGTCCTTGGTAAAAATTATCTATAGAGCTATCTGGGTCTGACGTTATCTTTGTGTAGGATTTTATTTTTAATTTAGAATATAAAGTACTCTGTTTCTACTTTATTTTCTTCTGTTAAGTTACACTTTCCTAGAAATTTATGACTTTTATGTGTTTGCAAATGAACTAACACTACATTTTCATTATATACTCTTGCTGGCTATTTCATTCCTAATGCTACCAATTATTTTCACTCTTAATTTTGTTTATTTGCTCTAGCGTTCCTCATTATCAATATAACTGTTTATTTTATTGGTCAAAGGAACAACTTTTTGCCTTTAATTTTTATTTAATTTTTTAATTAAGTCTTTTCTTCTACTGCTCCACCTGATTAATTTTTCCTTATGCTAATTTCGGTTCTTATTATAATTTTTTGAGACAGTCTCATTATGTAGCCTAGGCTGTCCTCAAACTTGAAATCCTTCTATCATTGCCTCCTGAGTGCTGGGATATGAGTACCTACTACCATACTGTTTCTAATTTCTTAAACTGGATTCTCAACTCATCAATTCTCAGGTCTTTCTCATTTTTACATGAGCATTTGCTGCTATCAATGTCTACATACTTTTTAGATGCATCCTGTAAGTTTGATATGTAATACTTTTAGCATGATTTAGCTCTATAGTCATTAAAGTTTTTTCTTTGAAGTTTTCAAATATACATAAAGTCAGAGCTTGTAATAAACTGTTATTACACATAACCCATTTTTAAATTTAAGTATAACTCAAATAGCACAAACTATTCTAAAGTGCATTATCTTGTGGCATTTAGTACATTAACAATGCCATATGACTATCACCTTTATTTAGTTCCAATTTTCCTTGTTCCAAAAGGAACATACAAATTAACTAATCATCTCCCATTCATCCCTCTCCTTGGGCCCCTGTGTTCAATATTTCTGAAATAACTATTATAAACTTATAGATTTCATGAATTTTGACCCACCATAGTCCCTATATTTAATGCTCAAAAATCCCCATATTTGGTGAATGAGATTATAGTCCTTTTAGATTCATTCCTGTGTCCTGTTTTTAAATCTTTGCTCATTTATTTGCTTTCTGTATTAACAGGAAGTAGAAGGCCCATATGGTCTGTACTATCTTGTTTTGTTGTTGTTGTTGTTTGTTTACCACAGTGCTGAAGTGAATGGTTCCGGTGAGAATTTGAGAAACTACAATATGAGTGCTAAGAGCGCTCATGGCTACTGGGATTTCATTATTTCTGGTACTTTCCAGTAAAAAGATCTAGGAACAAGTGTTTTTTCAGTAAGTGAAAATAAATTTGAAACTCTCAAATTATTAACCAATTTAATTGCATATGTTGCCTCTCTTACCTAGAAAATCTTATCTTGAAAAGTTACATTATTTTATAGTTGCAAAATAAAAAGATGATTATTACCACTAACAAATAGACCACTGAATATAGCTTAATATCTCTCCTGGAATCTTTTTGTCCATTAGGTAAGTTCTACTTAAGATTTATAGTCAAAACAATGTGTTTTAATGTCTCTCCAAATCACTATTTTCCTTGTGGGTTTGTTTTACATAGTTAGAATCCACTTAAAATTTGACAGTCAAAATCGGCTTAATAAAAATCTAAATCTGTTCAACATCTCTTCTCTTAGTAAAAGAATGTTTTAGAACATTTTAACACTAGTACATTTTACATCTTTTATGTGCTCTAAATTAATTGTTGCATTTTTCTGACTCAAATATATTATTGATGGTTAGATTTACCATATTTTTTCAACATCAGAGGATGAAAACATGCTGTCAAACTATGCTACAACAAGATGTAGATTCATTCCAGTTCAGAAATTACTAAAGGATTTTTACAAATATACTTTATGATCAATTAATTACATTATTATTGTGGTTTGACAAAGCCATTTCTTGTTCCATTTTACCTACATGTGTATCATTTTATTTGTTCTCCATTGTTAAACCTCAGTTCTTCCTTTTAATTTTTTTGCCTTTTGAAGTACACCTTCAAAAAGATGGAAGTTCGACTGAGGATCTTTGAGTGGTAAAATCTCAAAACTTATGCCTACAAATATTTTTTAAATGTCGCTAACATTTTATTCCCATTTCATTGAAAGTTTTGACCATATGATAATATGGTCAATAAAAGCAATATAAAATAAGAGAATTTTTTTTTGAAACTTCAGCTGCAACAGCAAAAGAGATGGTTTATTGTACACGCGTCACACTCGGCCACAACTATGAACAGAACTAGTCCAGAATGTCACAGGTCCGGGGCACAGGACCATCAGGAGATGCTTGGTTATGACCAAGGTGTGTCTTTCAGAAACGATCTTGGCGATGGGAGTTCTGGATCCACTGGGAAATCACAGCGGCATGCAGTCCAACAACTCAGTGTCCCAGGCTATGGCATTCCTTATTCCTCCTGCTCCTCTGGCGTCGACGGGTGCACAAGCTGGTTTATTCGGACTTCTGCCTCATCTTTCTTCTTTTGCGCTTCAGCCTGCGCATTCGCTTCTTCCTCCACTTGGCTCTCATGGCGCAGTTGTTCCTAGAAGATGGCGCTATGGCTGAAAGAAAATTTAACTAAAGTATAACTTTCATGCAATAAATTGTATAAATTGTAAGTTTATAGGGTGTTAAAATGTATATATGTACACATCATTATTACTACTATTTAGTTTTAAAATATCACTAAGTGGCATAAATTTATCTCATGTTTTATGTCATTCTAGTTAAGTCTGCTAGTCATCTCATTTTGTTTCTTGGAAGGGAATTTATCTTTTCTCTTGAGTCTGATTTTAACATTATTTTGTCCTTAGCAATCTGAATTTTACAAGTTTGTTTCTAAATGTAGGTTTATTTTAATTTTAATTTTACTTTTTACTCTTGTTTTTCTTTCTTTGTTCTTTGTTTCATTCGGTTTCTTTTCTTTTTTCTTCCTTCCCTTTCTTTCTTTCTTTCTTTCTTTCTTTCTTTCTTTCTTTCTTTCTTTCTTTCTTTCTTTCTTTCTTTCTTCCTTCTTTCCTTTTCTCTATTTCTTTCTTTCTTTCTTTCTTTCCTTCTTCTTTCCTTCCTTTTTCTTTATTTCTTTCTTTCTTTCTTTCCTCCTTTCTTGTTACTGGGTTTGAACATAGGGCCAGGCTGGCACTCTAACAAACCATGCTTCTGGCTCTCCTTTAGTTTGCTAGTTAATTTGCACTTGAAATGGAGTCAATTTTTCTGCTTGGGCTGGCCTCAAACTCAAAACTTCAAACTGCAGATCTCTGCTTCCTGGGTAGCTAGAATTACAGGCGTGAGGCATTGGTGCCAGCTTACTTTTCTATTTCCTGATAAGGGTTCATGTTTCCTAAATCTAAAGATTAATGTATTTCATGTCTTCTAAAAAACTTTTAGCCATTACCTCTTTAAATACTAACTGTCCTCAATCCTCTCCCTTAAATTCTTATTAGAGGTATATCGGACTTTTCCATACTGTCCTCCATGTCTTTCTAAAAATCAACTTACTGAGATATAATTAACATAATTAAAATGCACCCATGCTTTTTTTGCTCAGGCCCATGGCACCAACAGGAAGCACCATAGTCACTGATGTGGCCAGAAGTGGCATGATAAACAATACAAAAAAGCCCACATGGACATAGGCTTGAAGGCCAACCCATTTGAGAGCGCTTCCCATGCAAAGAAATTGTGCTGGAGAAAGTAGGAGTTGAAACCATGCAGCCAAATTCTGCTATCAGAAAGTGTGTCAGAGTGCAGCTAATCAAGAATGGGAGGGAAATCACAGCTTTTGTACCCAAGGATGATTGCTTGGATTTGATTGAAGAAAATGCTGAAGTTCTGGTTGCTGGATTTGGCCAAAAAGGTCATGCTGTAGGTGACATTCCTAGAGTCCGCATTAAGGCCATCCAAGTAGGCAATGTGTCTCTTCTGGACCTATACAAAGGCAAGAAAGAAAGACCAAGATCCTAAATTTTAATGATAAAAATACAATAATAATAAAATTTTATAGTATAATGAAAATGCACCCATTTTATGCATATAATCCCAATGAGCTATAACTAAGATTTATACCAGTGTGGTCAACATTTAGATCATTTCTGTCATCCTCAAAAATTCTCTTCTGTTGTTTTCAGGTGAATCTCATATGGAGACCTAGGCAACCACTGACATGAATTCTATCATTATTAAGTAGTTTTAACTTTTCTAGAATCTCATGTAAATAGAATCAGTTTCAAGATTGTTTTAGGCTCTGTGGGTTTCCATATATCTTTTGGAACTGAATTTTCAATTTCTTCAGAAAATTTATGTTGAAGTTCTATGTGGGTATGGGTTGAATCTTTAAATTAATTTTGAAATTTGTGAGTCTTTTGGTCCATTTTTTAGATCTTTAATTTTCCTTAGATTTTTTTTTACAATTCAGTGTAAAAATCCTACACACACTGTTAATATTATCCCCAAATATTCCATGCAGACTTATCTTTAATTTTATTTTGCAATTGTTTGTAACTAGAATATAGAATTTTTTTGTATTTTTTATTTCAAAGATACTGTACAGAGGGGCTACAGTTACATGAGTAAGGTAATGAGTACATTTCCTATCGAGCATTGTTGCCTCCTCCTTTGTTTTTCCCCTACCATCCCTTTCCTCTCCACCTCCCCAACTCCTCCCTCTTCCCTCCCCTGTACCCAAAGTTGTAAAGTTCGTTTTCAACATAATGTCTTGTACATCTTGTTGTTAGAATGGGTCATCCTGAATCCTTATTTCAACATTTTGTTATTTCCCTTCCCCTCCCCAAATTAGAAAAATGTATATACAAGATGCAGGATACTGGTATCAAATACAGTGACAACAGGGGTTATACCATGGGGGAAGAACATACAAAAGAAACAAAAAAATCACAAAGTACATTATAAGTACATTAAAAACAACAGCAAGAAAGAAAAAACCTTTTCTGTCCCTATCTAGGGGTTCATTTCATTTAGCATCGTCTTATATGGTCATATGTACATAGCTTTTGAACTTTTTTGCTTATCCTAGACTTATACTAGTTATTGCAGATAAAGGAAACCATGGGACCTATATTTCTCTGGCTTACTTCACTTAATATAATTTTTTCCAAGTCTTTCCATTTCCTAACAAATAGGGCATAGAATTCATATATATATATATATATATATATATATATACACATACATATATATATCACATTTTCTTGATCCATTCATCTACTGAGGGGGACACTTTTACATTCATATTGTATACTCTGAATTTGCTCAATTCCTTTTCCAATTCTAGTACAGTTTTTGAAGATTGCTTAGATTTTCTATGTATACAATCTTGTCACTAGAAATCATGATGGTTTTATTTCTTCAAACTTTAAGTCTTGTTTTCCAGTTGTTTGACTTCACTGGCTTGTACTTTTAACATAATGGTGAATAAAAATTGTGGGTTTTTTTGTTTTGTTTTGTTTTTTTTTGGAGTCCGGTCATGAGGCCTTGAAGTCTGGGCCTGGGCGCTGTCCCTCAGCTCTTCAGCTCAAGGCTAGCACTCTACCACTTGAACCACCCACCACTTCCAGCTTTTTCCATTTTGCTTATGTGGTGCTGAGGAATCGAACCCAGGGCCTCAGGCATGCAAGTCAAGCACTCTACCACTGAGCCACCTTCCCAGCCCTGGTGAATAAAAGTTGTGATAACAAACAACCTTGCCTCACACCCGATCTTCTTAGGAAAATATTCTGTATTTTACTACTAAATATAATATTACTGTTATGTTTTTCATAGCTTCCATATATTAGCTTGAGTTAATTCCCTTCCAGTCCTCATTTGCTGAGAAATTTTATGTTCTGTAAATTTTGAATATTATCAAATACTTTTCCTTCCTTTCTTTTTTCCTTCCTTCTTTCCTTCTGGCCTAAGATAGCAGTCTCTATGTTGCTCGGGCTGACCTTGAACTCATGGATTCAAATGTTCCTCCTCTTGAGTAGCTGAAAGTAGGCACTTGTCACTACACCTGTTTTCAAATATTTTTCTACATTTATTAAGATGGTATTGTGTTTTTACTCCTTTGTACTTCTCATAACAGAAAGGGTCAAAGTAAATGAATATTGAGCCCAAATGTATCTCAATAGACAAATGAATCGAGAAAATGTGGCATATATAAGCAATGGAATTCTACTCATCCATCAGAAAGAATGATTTTGAAATAAATCATGCATTTGTTTCTAACGCATTTATAAGATTATCTCTTTGTTGCTTTGTATGCCCCTCCCCCACAGTATAAACCTTGCTTTCACTATATTTGATGTCAGTATAACTTGTGGAGGAGATGGGGAAAAACAAGTCGTTTAAGGATACAGGTGAACCTGTTGCAACAATGAGAAGTACAAGTTGTCATGTCGAAAACGAGCTTTACAAAGTTGGTGTGTGGGGGGGGGAGGATTTGGTGTGGGGGGGTGGTGGCTGGGAAGGGATGTGAAGGGTAAACAAAGGAGGAGGCTGCAATGCTTGATAAGAAATGTATGCATTATCCTGCCCATGTAATTGTAACCCCTCTGTACAGTATGTTCACAAAAAAATAAATTAAATTAAATTAAAAAAAAAAAGAATGATTTTGGGGGCTGGGAAGGTGTCTCAGTGGTAGAGTGCTTGCCTTGCATGCATGAGGCCCTGGGTTCGATTCCTCAGCACCACATAAGCTGAAAAAGCTGGAAGTGGTGCTGTGGCTCAAGTGGTAGAGTGCTAGCCTTGAGCTGAAGAGCTGCGAGTCAGTGTCAGGCTCAGAGTTCAAACCCCACAACCAACAAAAATAAAGAAAGAAAGAAAGAAAGAAAGAAGGAAGGAAGGAAGGAAGGAAGGAAGAAAGAAAGAAAGAAAGAGAAAGAAAGAAAGAAAGAGAAAGAAAGAAAGAAAGAGAAAGAAAGAAAGAAAGAGAAAGAAAGAAAGAAGGAAAGAAAGAGAAAGAAAGAAAGAAAGAAAGAGAAAGAAAGAAAGAAAGAAAGAAAGAAAGAAAGAAAGAAAGAAAGAAAGAAAGAAAGAAAGAAAGAAAGAAAGAAAGAAAGAAAGAAAGAAAGAAAGAAAGAAGGAAAGATTTTGTACCATTCGTTAGGAAATGGAATGACTTGGACAAAATTGTGAGGTAAACCAGTACCAGAGAAACACAGATTGTGTGGTTTCTCTCATTTGTGGGAGCTAGAATGTGCCTCTAAATTTGTAAGTAAAGACTTTGGGGTGGTATGCAAATGGTTACAAATGAATTAACTGAAGTGTAATAGACTCTATAGCTTTAGAAAGACTAAGTCAAAGCCCAACAAAGTAAATATCAGGAAATGGGTACTTGCCAGAAGGCAGTGTGGCCAAAGGGGAGAGAAGTAGATGATTTAAGGGGGATGTGGGGGGGGAGAATTCAGTCAAGAGTTCATGGTATATACCACAAAATTAAGAAAAAGAGTGGGAGGGGTGGTTGAAGGAGGGTGAAAATGTTGATGGGATCACACAGATCAAGATGCAACACACACACACACACACACACACACACACAGAGCTTTGTTAAATGGCCAAACATACATATCC